CGCTGGGGTTGCTTTCTCTCTCGGCTTCCCTCGGCACAGAGTCTCAGTTCTGGAGCAAAGACTTCCATTTCCTGTTCTGGCGCCATGACATGCGGCTGACAGCAGCTTTTATAGACCTCTTGAAGGGACCCAGTTGCGCTCAATGCTTCCTCCAGCACGTGAAAAAAAAAATGCGCACATACCGCACTGTACACAGACTGTACAGTGCACAGAGTTTGGCAAAGCACAGTATGGTGCTTTTTGTAGAAGGCGATTCAAGATGAATGACACAAGACTGAACACTGTGAACCTTCGGAAATATGCCACCCTCCTCCAGCGCTAAGGGTCAGCTCTGTCTCCCCTCTGAGAGGCTCTAATGAGTTGTTGGACAGAAACGCGATGGCTCAGATCACTTTGGCTTCAAAAGAAGACATGTTCATTCAGTGAATTATCGAATCACTTAGTGCATAAAGCTCACAAATATTCTTCCTTTTGTTGTTTAAGTAAAGATAAAAAGTCCACCTGATATAGAATAAGTTGGTGCAGTTTTGATCAATCTAAGTTATTTAAATTTTAAACCAGAGGTGATCAAATGCAGGCCAGAGTTTGCTAAAAAGCCATTTAGTTATATGGTGATAGGAAACTAAAAGTCAGATGCTAGCTTCATTGTCATTAAAATCTGCTGGGTGCCAAAAATGGTGCTACGCCAGCGTTCTGCAAGGATGCATCGCTCCAGGTCAGAAGCAAGGTCTTAGTGCTGTCAATTAAACCTGTGTACGTGCTGCTCAGCGCCCTAATGGCGGTGAAACATTACCGTTCCAGGAAAACCATTTATTCGCCGTCATTAGTGGCTGTGCTGACTAGTCTGAGCATTCACAGACAGGGAGAAGCTGCAGCATAGCAGAGAGCAAGCATGTGAGTGGTGCGTACCATCAAAATAAGTTTGATGGGCAAAGCTAAGACTCTCCTCCTCCTGGCTCTGATTGGTCATTTCTGACTGGATTTGTATTTCTGCAATTGCTGCTCAATGAGCGCACTTGGAGCAGGCAAAAAAATTCAAATTTGAACACATTATCTCTTACTATAGTGTCACAACAAAGAGAAAATTTTAACAAATGTGTAAAAAAAAAAAGAAAAGAAAATTGTTTATGAAAGTTGCATAGTGTTGCTTTAAAGTGGTGGAAACTTCTGCCATACTTTAATAAGCAAAAGGCATCTGTAAGCACAATGACCAGTCTTTATTAGTTGACTAATTAAGCAAATAATGGCAACTAAATAACATATTTCCTCCCTTGTCTCAAACTCATGTTTAGAGATCATAATAATGGCTCATTTCAGCAAAGTCATGCAGTTAAATAGGTGGACCCTATGAAAATGCCCACAGTTCACTTTGTGTCAATACCATGTAATGGACTGTCATGGTAGATAATGGTTTCTGGGAAGGGATTGCAGCCAAAAACCTTGGAGGTCACAACAAAGTTAATAAGTCAAGAGTAAAGGCTCAAGGAACTAGGCTTTCTAACACTGAGAACATACTCTTTGTGTGCAAAGAGGTCCAAAAGGTAACACGAGCCCAGCTCTGCAGTGAAGTAATTTCTGACAAATGAGTCCCTCCAGATCTCCCCCCTTTCAACTTTCTTTGTCATTGTTGCCCCACGCTGACAGCGTCTGATGCTAAAGCTGCACGGCAAACAGAGCTTTCTGAAACGACGATGCTGTTTGCCGACCATGGCACGCTTAAGGATCAAATAATCGTCCTCCAAAATGTGCTCAGACAGACATGATTGGGATGGATGAATGAAAGAGGAGATGGGGGGAAAAGCACCGTGCTCAGCATCTCACCGTTGAAACAGCCGCTAACGTTTTGTTTTTTCTCTCCCCTTCGCCGTCTGCCCGCAGAAACGAGCGAGGCAAAAGATCCCAAACATTATTTGGCAACTGCGACGAGCACAACTTGGAGAGGTATTCGATTTCACAACGCTTAAAAAGAAAAATGTGTGGTGAGATTGTGTTTGAAGAGTCCCAGAGGGCAAGTGGTTGGCTGGAGCCCGAGGTGGGGGAGAGGCCTAGTTGGGGTTGAGCGTAACGGCAGAAACACCTCCCAGAGACGCTTCGCTGATCGATTATTCGAGCATGAGATAAATGTCAAGAAGTTAGTATGGTGTTAACTTTATTCAGAATCATACATTAGCAGTCAATATCCAGTACCCCTGTGGAGCAGTCGGGGCGTTCTGGGGGTTTGGCTGGACTGTGTTGCATCTTTGGCTCGGTGCCGAGTCCCTCTGGATCAAACGTAGTAGCCAACCACAACAACATCATCAGCAGCCTGTCATTCTGTGAGCCTGTTTGTCTTGATGAGAGGGACCACAGAGCTCGTCACAGAGCAAACCCGCGTCTAAATAAAACGTACTAAAGAGACATTTTGAAGCCCCTTCCAACACAAGCTGACCATTAAGCTCTCAGAAATTGTTTCCTTACTGCTATCGGCAGTCTGTCTATGTGTCGTATCTGTTTTGGTGCTATTTCCTCTGAGTTTCATTATTCACATTTCACATCACTTGGTCAGCCTGCTGCCTATTTTTCTATTCTCCGGTCATTCTTTCATTTGAGCTTCATGTTTTTCATCAGACAGATTAGGTCCACGCCCTTGTTTATTGGTGTATGAGCTCACCCTTGCTGTAAGAGTGGCCAGTGGCCTGTGAAGGATCTTGTGATCTATTGCTTGTTGGACCAGAGCCCCATTCAGCCACATTGCGTTCCCGACTACTTAGACCTGCAGAATCACAAAAACAGGCCGCTGCACCTCAACTTTGCCCCGAATCATAGGTCCGTAAGCATTTGTGCAGAAGTGCGCAGTGTTTGGGATACAGAGGGTTTCCAAGAAAATTAAACACACGAAGGAAACCAAGTGAAGCTGTAAAATTAGCAAATGGAACAATGATGTCATGCACAAGTCAAAGGTTTATATAGTTGTATTTTGTTGAATTTATTGAAATAAACATTTAATCTACATGAGCATTTGCCTGTTACTTTGTTATATGAACTGATATCAACCTCACTCTATACATGGCACATGCGGAAATCCGAAGTTCTTAGGGTAAGTTGCATTGTGGGAAATTAGGTCAGAAAAATTACTTTTCTCTTTTGAGTTTAAATTTAATCAACTGGGTTTTTTTTTGTTTGTTTGTTTTTTTGTTTTTTTTAGAGCACGTAATCAGGAAATGACAATAATATTTACGATTGTAACAACAGTATTGGCTTCAACTATCCCAGATTTTTATCATTTTTTCCATCTTTCTCATCATCATGATGTCACCACAACTGTTTTCAGCTTTAGGAACTTGGTTAGTGTTAGTGGGTGGGCATGCAGGGCTGTAACAGTTCATATTCAAGCAAAATTTGTCAAAAAGACTATAATTCAACTAATCGAAGGTAAAAATGTGGGTTTTAGCTAGAAGGTGAAGATGTCAACCTCTTAACCCTGATATCTAAATATGTTTAAAATGTTTTTCTGGTAGATGAAATGGGCCGACTAGTCCTATCTGTCACTGTCTTAGTTTTGGCTAAATTCAGTCAGCACACAGAGACTAAAACGTGTCTGATTTTTAATGTAGTTTTGCAGCCTAAAAACACAGACTTGCCAAAAATATGTTTATGGGCATCCAATGTTTTAAAGGTTCATAACGTAAGACGTTATCATAGCATTTGAAATATTTTAGCCCAACAAACATCACATCTGAGGGGCTTTTTTTTTGTTTTTGCAATATGACATGCATTGGTGTATTAGCATGTAGCGTAATTAGCAGCTGTGTAGAGCTTCACCTTCTCTCTGCCATTTCTAAAAGGCTGACAACATTTTTACGTCCAATATTTTCCAGAATGACAAAGACTAAAAACTCAACAGAATTAAAGAACGAGTTTTCTTGGATGCATTCAACCTTACTGTTGAAAGTCTGGTGCTAACATGTCAAGGTTGTTTTTAATAAAAAAAAAAAAAAAAAAACTCAAATAGCTATTTGTATAAATAATTTAGTGTTTAAACACCTGATTCAGCCACTAGAGCCTTTTGTGCGGTGTGCTCACTGAGCAGGATGATCAAATGTAAAGGTCAGATGGGAAACACTTGTTTTTGGTTTAGACTCTTTGATTTACAGTCAATAACTTGTAAGGTCATGATTTGAATATTTCGATAGATCAGTCTACGTTCTGCAGACTGGTCAATCAAGCCTTTTCTCCATGTTCTCATGGTGTAAGATAAAACTATGGAAATCTTTGGATTTGAGCTGAGTTCTTCATGAGCTTGTTTGCACCATTTTGTGTTAACAGTTGTTGGATTCACGTCTTTTATTGATATTTGACTGTGGAAATCAGTATTTTAACGGCATATCCATTTTAAGTTAATGATACTATACTAACAAAATAAATCTGTTATTTGGCACACATATGCGGTATTCCACTCGAGAATACCACAGAGCATCTTACAAGGGAAATAAAGGTGTCTCTAGGTTGCTATTGACTCAGTTGATGTTGGAATTAGCAAACAGCATTCCCATTCTCTACAAATCCAAGAAATCACTGAGAAAACGGCCTGTGGGATTCTAAAGGAGGCAATTAAAGTGTCCAAGGACTGAGCTGGCTGTGGAGTGCAGCTCTGTTTTACTCTGCAGCAACACCTGCAACAACATGACATTCACAAAAAGTTATTGGAAGAAAACGTTTCCTGTTTCCTTACAAATGAATATCTATTAAAAAAAAGGGGAGGAGGAGGCAGATTTTGGAAATAAGAACCTTTGGATTGATTCAGACTGAATAAGACATCCTGGCCAAAATTAGCAGATGTATGTTTAATGGAGATGTTGCCCAGATTTACGTGTGAGACCTAATTTGTCATGAAATCTGTGACCTGGTTTTGCTGACAAGGTTTTGACAGGGGCAGCCTTAACTTTCACATTTCCATGATGACCACATTGTTAACGTGAAACGCATCTGTGTGTGTGTGCGTGTGTTTCCCCGTGTCCCAGGCTCTTGGAGACAGCGACTTCCCGGCCGTGCTGAGGCAGCTGCTGCCCTTAATGAAGCCCCGCGGAGGCGAGGACAGCCCATCGTCAGGGTCGAGGCTCGGGCAGGACGAGTGCGGGCCGGACGAGCTGATCCTCCTCCTGATCTATCTGTACACGCTGGCTGAGGAGGCGCAGCACTCCGCGGACGGCGGGGAGGAGGAGCTGGAGAAGCTGGAGCGCGAGCTGATAGGAGCGCTCACGCTGGTCATCACCCGGGAGACGGAGCTCAGCCCGCTGCTCCAAAGCCTCACCGGTGAGCAATCGAACCGGTCCCCAATCAAACCGAGTCTACCAAACTATCGGCTCCATAGCTTTCTCCCTGACCTGCCTGCTAAAAATGCAAATCATACAATTTAAAATTTAGTGTCAATTGAAGTCACATATAATTTTCCTTCCTTCCATTCATAATTAAAAGAAAAACTGTAAACAAATTGGAAAAGAGCTCATTGGGTCTGGGTTGTTTTGCAAGGTGCTGTATGTGTTGACCAAGCGGCTGGTGAACTGTAGTGCAGATCAAGGCCTGCCCCTAAGATGAATGGTCCGTCTGCCTCAGCACCACAGCCAGCGCACCTCCCTCAGAGTAATAGCATCTTTAACCTTGAGCCTCTAACATAAGCTCTCCTCCCCCAGCCGTAAAGTTCGCAATTAATTCCACTTTTGGTTTGGGCTTGCACCATACCTTAGCACACGCCCTGAAATAGCACACTGCGGTTTCCACTTATTTCACATCTGGGGTCATGTTGTATATATGGGTTTGGTAAATCTTCATAGCGCGCTAATAGAGAATGCTGACCTCTCTCTTTCCCACTTTTCTCCCCTATGAGAAGTCTCTGCCTCTTCCTGTTCCACTTGGCTGGGTGCAGTTGGTGATCGAGGGAGGCCGAGGGGGGCGGAGGGGCAAGCTGAGAGTTGTGGTTCATATAAGAAAGAAAAAATAAAAAACCTGACTTTGTTATAAACACTTTGTTGGAAGGAAGCCCGCTACGGGGTGCCAGGTGCATTTAAGACAGAATAAAGACAACATGTCAGGGGAAACCTGGCAGTTTGTGCACTTTTTAAGATTCAAGTGTGTGTTTGCATGCGCGTCTGTGTGTGTGTGGATGGTTTTATAGTGGCAGACAGAGCGCTTTGGCTCGAGTAACATGGGGAGGAGGTCGTCTGTCTCAGCATCTAGAGCAAAACATTGATTGTGACATTCCCCCCAATTAAAGGAGTCAAATAAAAACCAGACGCCGAACGGAGGTTGGTCACCATGAGAACGGGCGCTCTTGCAAATTCTTCCCCCCCTCCGCTTTTCGCTTGTTGCAAGCGGCTCGAGGTTTAAGCGCACTGTGGATGAACTATGGGTTGCAAACTGGGTGCAGAATCACCAGAAAAATATACAGAGAGGACAAAATACCAAAGGACATACGGGAACTTGAGAATATCGGAAAGTAAGCATGACAGCGCAACCCACCCTGTGTCTGCTAAACATCTCCATCTGAGAACTTAGGAAATGTTGCTCTTCAGACTTCCAGGCTCTGTTTTTGTTTGCTTAGAGAGCTGGAGAAACTTTGTCTACTTTACATGTTTAAAAGGAACATTCATAGTGTTTTGTTCTTAACTAATGCCAAGGTGTGGGATAATTTCACAACGCAGTTTCCCACTGGAAGAAGAATCAGGTTCTGGAAATGCCCTAGTCCAACCCAAAAACATGCAGACATTAATGGAAGTTAACCAAGCATGACATCGCATGTGTGTTGTCATTCTTGGTTATAAAAGAGACTTCTTTTCAAAACAAAAGTGCTCACGTCTTGATTTTATTGAGCTGGGTTCAACAAAAACAACATGTCTTTTAGGGTTCTATTAACGATTTCACTTTTTAGTGTGCTATACTCGCATCAAACAACGAATTAATCGGGTAATCAATTGTTCTGGGTTCTTTTTTACTGATTTCACATGTGAAGTAATCACGCACTCTTTTCAGAGCAACAACAGGATATAAAGCAAAGTCACGCTAATCTGTTTAGAGACATAATTTGTAAAGATATCAGAAAGAAATAGTCTAACATCTATGCCATGCTTTTTTTCTTAGTTTTTTCTTTGTCAAAATCAGATGCTGTTTTTTTGTTTGTTTCTTTTTATGCAACCTGCAAGACACAAATAATGCTGATCTTATAGCATGCATCACTGCATCCAGTGCATTTTCCTAAATGCAGCGATAATGTCTGATGTTGGTGTGCTATTTGCTTGATTTTCTTTTTTATTTAGCTTTACTCCTAACAGCAGTGCAATGTCTTGTCAGGCAGATCAATAAGTGCTGTAAGATTCCCCTGTGATCTCAAACCAAATATTTAACAATATTTAGTCCTTTTTGTGCCCAACTCTGTAATGTTGAGCCTTTCAGCTGGAGAATGTTATACGTTTTTGATATTCTTTTATAAACAATTAGAAATCTTTAGCGTAAACTCCAAATTATATCAGCTCTCCATCCAAATCTGAAAATGGAGCAAAACTATTTGTTATTTTTACCCTCTTAAACACTTCCAAAATGTTTACTTGACGGTAAGTTTAGTTTTAGATGTATAGTGATGTGCCAAAAGTCATTGAGTTGAATCACTTTGCAACCTCTAATTTTAGTATTTTCTGTTGGAAATGTTTGTGATGGACAAACATAACAAGGAGCAAAATTGTTTTGTTTTTCTTTTCATGTAAATACAAACCTCAAAAGTGTGGCAGGCATTTATATTCAGCCACCCCAGTCAGTACTTGGTGGTTATCGCCTCTAAAATCTCCTGTTTTGCATGTGAGAAATGTTTTTCTTGTGCCTTTAATATCTGCATTTTAACATTTTTTTCTTCTCAGCGGCGGTTCTATGCTTATGCTCTTTCTCTCAGCCGTTACTTCAAAATCCCATAAAGCACTTTGGGTTTCCCTGCATATGAATAGTTCAAGATAAATCAAAGGCACTTTTTTTTTGGCATTTTCATCTACACGCCGAAAAAAACCGAGGGAAAACCCAGCCTACCCCAAAAAATTTTCAGCATACAGTTCCCAGGTTTACAATGCAGTGCCGCATGTTTATAACCGAGTGTGTGAAACTTGCTGTTGTATCTTCGTATTGTTGTCTCAGAGTATGGATGTGATTAAAGGGCTCGAGAGTATTTATCCAAGAAAATGGTTCTGCTTATTGCAGACTGGGAAATGATCTCCCAAAACCAAAACGCTCCACAGCCGACACCACATGTGGGGAGAGCCCGATTGGCTGTGGGCGGCGCTGCACAGCCAGAGCGAACGACGGGATTGGACGAAGAGCCCGGACTGCTCCCTGAGCCGGGCTCTGATTGGGTCCTGCCAGGTTCTTCAGGGTACAACGCTGCGGTGTGTGTGATGTGTGCAGGTTGTAAATAGCTCCAAGCAGTTACTGTTAATTCCTCGCTCAGTTGTGGGAAAAAAACTACATTTATGCTGGTTGGAATAAAAACAAAACAAAAAAAAGTCCTCAAGCTGTTTTATAGATGCGCTTCCTGTCGGGCCTGGTAAAGCTTTTGGTGGAGAATCAATCATCAGCCCTGTTTTTTTAAATTCTCCCTTTTTTTTTCCTTTTTTGAGGGTCTGGGGGGTAAGAGTGAAAGGCTCAACCAAAGGTTTGTAAATCCCCACACTTGGACAGCTTTCAGGGCCAGGAAGCTGAATCATAGCTCTTGCTCTTGAAGTGAGTGGGTGTCGTTCTGCAGAGGTGAGACTCGAGTCTTAAACCCCAACTGGTGCTGATGCTAGTGTTTTAGTCAGTACGCTTACACAAGCGAGTGGGGCTGAGGGGGAGTTTCAACGGGAAACATGGTGGTTTTTCATCTTGTTCTTCTCTTTCTGCGTCAGCCACTCCTCGGGTTTGTTATTCATCCTGTCAGTGGTGTATGCATGGGGTAAGAAACGGGGGAGAAAGGGGAGGGGGTTGCAGCAGACCTCCCCAAATGCGAATGTTTGGGTTGGCACAGCAACATGAGCCAGTCAGGGGACTTGAAAAGGGATCACACACACAACTCTTGCCACCAACTGTCTGTCTGCCGACTTTTTAAACTTTTCTTCTCTTTGTTTCTACTTTGTTTTTTTCTAAATGTCTGCATCTCTTTTCTCACCCCTTCTTATTTCTCCTCCCTCTCCTCTCTTGGTAGGCCCCAAAGTAGAAACCCGGCAGCCGGGGAAGTGGAGCATAATCTCGCCTAATGATTTTGCTTTATTAAGCATATTTCCCCTGTTGCACTTGCTTATGAAATTAGTTGCAATTATTTTTAATTGCTGGTCTTTCCTTTACTTCTTGCTCTGTTTGAATAAACAAGAACCCGTGCAGATACTCACTACGACAGAGAACAGTGGACCAGGGGACGACCAAAGTTCCCAGTGGCATTGGCGCCCTCCCAGGCCCTTCATCACTAGTTCACTTCATCAGATAGACTGATGACGGGGAGTTTTAATTAACATAATCTCATCAGTCACTTACTGCAGACACAGAGAGGCCTGGTTAACAGGCAGGCCACACACAGTTAGTGGTTGGATTGGATTAATCATATGGCTGATTGTTGTAAAGGACCAAACTCGAATCTGTCATCAGCTGCTGTTTGTCAGTTGTGATTTGTAACCAAAGTATGTTGGGAGTTAAACTACATTTGATCACATTAAAAAAAATTAATCTCTTAAAATCAAGCTAAATCCTTGTTGATGTAAACAATTTGTTTTGGATCAATTAATATTTTCTTCTTATCAATTCAATTGAAAACTTTTATTGTTTCCATTTGTCTCAAATGGAAATTCTGTTTGGAAACATTTGACGTTAGTTAAAAACCTACTCACTACTGATTAAGCAAACCTAAACAACCGAGAATGAATCAAACAACACTAAAGCAAGTCTGCAAGATTATATATTAATTGTACGTTCACACCAGCCCTCTTTAGTCCACTTTAAACAATATTTACTTTGTTTCTATAGAAAATTCGGTGTGAAAGCCCAATTGCACTCTGATGCAATTGGGCTTTTCCAAAAGCAAACTCTGGTCCGACTAAAAACCTCGGTTTCGGTTCGAGTGAAGTTAACTTTGTTGCAGTTCGAATGCATATGTGGATGGATGTGGACCGGAGATCACTCCAAAAGCAGGACTATGTTAAAACTATGCTACGTCAGGAAAATAATGTGCATGGCCTAGATTGCAGTCTTGAAAGCCAATTTAGAACATTTCCACTCCAGCATTTTCTTAATTTTTTTTTTTTTTTTTTTTT